TCATTTTGACCAGAATAGAATTCATTCATTTCTGAATATATACACTGAATAAAAGTTCTCATAATCATTTGTTTTTCGCAAACCATGCTAAAATCTCTCATCCTCCACAACACCATTCTTATTTACTGCTACAATGACGACAGTTTGGAGAGATGTATTTTTAATACATGCAGTGTGGAGTGGATTGTAAGGCAAAATAGCACCCAAAGAAAACCTTCTGGACCACTATTGTAAATTAAATGGCTATATTTGTGTTGCCAGGAGTCACTAAGTCTATAATCCAAATCCTCCATTTCACAGCAAAACACAATGATTTTGTTTTAGGGCTGCAAACAGAGGCGCAAAGACTACTGACAATCCCTACTTCAGTAAAAACAGTGCTACTGTAGTGATAATGTACTACAATACAAGTAAACATATTAATACAGGAAATTACTTAAGAGTAAATATAAAAAATTTACTGCAAAACTACTGTAAATCTGCAATAACAACCTGAAAATATCTCTGAATCGACTTAAACTACGACATTAAACTACATGCATTTCATGAACAGATGATTATTTAGGGCTTCCAAGTTTCTCCAATAACGTAGTTTAGAATCAAGTTTGTTGCTCTTTAATTGAGTCTATTTTTTTGGTTTGGCCTTTAAACAAACACAGATTATTCAATTAAGAGTCAAAATAACCTTAGATCCTTTATCATTAGTTTACATTAACTTATAGATGTCATCCTCTACAGGCAGTAAACGTTACATTCACAGCCCTTAAACTGTATAAATCCACAGATACCTGTACAGAACATTTCTACCATTAAAATCATCAATGATAAAATCATGCTGATTTTCTTTACTGATATATACCTCTTAATAATTATCACAATAATAACTTCATACACAATCAGAAACTTCTTTTAGTTTATTTGACAGGTAAAAGTTAAACAGCTAAACAGCCTCTCACACAGTTAAAGACTTACACAAAGGCAGAGAGAGAAAGAAAGAGAGGCTGTGTTCTTGGATGAACTGACAAATCTCTCTGATACTATATTATGATTATCTGTAAGGTGAGACTAATGAGTAAATTTTGCAAATACATTTTAATAAGGTGAAAATCCAGACGCGACAAGCTCACAGTTTTTCCAATAAACGGAACAGTGATCTAAATATTCCCTAATGTCTGTAATGACTCGTATTTCATGTGAGGTGATCTCTGTTTTGTCTGTGTCCACCGTGTGCATGACAAATGAACTTCATACCCCACCACCCGCAGTCTGCTCAGATTACTGTTGAGCCCAGTTCGAGTAAGTCTGAATAAGCTTACAGTCACTGAAAACCAAATCTGAGTGGAGTAACTGTCTAGAGTTTGGTATGAAAGCTGTATTAGACTAGATTTCCTGTATCACACCCTTAACCTCAGTATACCTCCAAAAAACCACACATGGGTAAACCGAATGGACTGACACCAACGTTAAAGGTGCAGTGTGTAAGATTTAGTGGCATCTAGCAGTGAGGCTGCAGACTGCAACCAACTGAATACCCCTCCCTCACCTCTCCTTTTTAAGCGTGTAGTAGAACCTACGATGGCCATCAGGATTCGCCTGTCCCGATTTCGTTTGGCTTCTTTAGGTTTTCGCTTCTTTGACGATGCTTTTTCTTTTCTAGTCTGATCCTCCATTTGTCAAAATTTAGGTTCTCAAACTTCTCCCAACACAAATGGTTAACCAGCACCGGCAGCAACCAAAGCACCACCAAATTCAAGCTGCTGCTTTAATGTAAAAATGCGAAAGGCCTCTAAAGCCAGTACTTGGTGTTTCCACTCTGCAGAAACATGGCAGCGTAACATGGCGGTCTCTGTTAGAAGAGAACCTGCTCCCTATGTAGATATGAAGGGCTCATTCTAAGCTAACAAGAACACAACCATTTATAGCTACAGGTGATTATATACTAATGCAAACTTGTTCCATTTCTGCTTACAGATCCCCCTAAAATCTTACATACTGCACCTTTAACTACGGTAACATAACCTGATTGTAAGTTTCATAGATCGCCACCATTTTACTCTAAAACCCATGTGTCAAACACAAGGCCCGCGGGCCAGATTAGGCCCACGACCCAATCCTATCCGGCCCCCAAAATTATTTTAATGTTCTATTAATATTGGCCCATTTCACAATGCACTGCAGTACAGTCCCCAGCATGCACTGCAACGTTACGTGCGCTCTGACTCTCCTACCCCGACAGCAATCTATGGGACAGCGGTTACACCTCAGTTCTACACAATTCCACACCAGTCATATCACCATATGCACCAGCTGCATTTCAGCTGCAGTTCAACCAACAAAAACACTTAATGGTAGCCCAGCAGCTCAGAAACTGAGCCCAAGTATTAATGAACTTGCAGCAAAGAAAAGATGCCAGGTGTCCAGTTCAAGCAGATAGGTAGGTTTAAAAGACTGAGCACCTGGGGACGTTTAAAATTTGAATATTTTAAGTACTCATGTAATATTTCAAGGTCTAGTACAAGTGCCTGTATTTTCCTGTTGAAGTTCTCATGTATTTCGAATTAACAATTGCCAGTATAGGTCACAGCACAACATTCATTAAAAAGAAATGAAAACTCAGACGCTCTCTGGCCCACAAGTTTGTTGAGATTTTTTAATACGGCCCTTTTAGTGGCTGTGGTTTGATACCCCTGTTCTAAAACAAGGTAAAAAGAGAATACTAAACGCAGTGCCGTTTAGCCAGGACTAGTGGCATAGTCTACCGCTTCACCAGGGTTGTGAACAGCGGAGATAGCGAAGGCTTTGTGAAGGATGTCTGGCAGCTGATAATAATGCAGTTTTCTTTGGTTCATTTAAAAACAAATGAAGATGATCATTTGGACAAAGGTTGTTGGTTGTTTGTGCTGGTAAAGTTCTCCTCTATCTTTTGCCACCATACTGGGCCTCTCTGAATCCATCTGAGCTGAAGTGCAGTGTTTTAGGAGCTGCTCTGTTTTAACTGGCTTTTAGAACTGAATCTGGGAACCAGGGAAAAGTGTACTCAAGTACAGTAACAAGAGCAAAATGCCATTTGTTACTCTCCACCTCTGACTGCAACTACTATAGGTTTTTATTTTCAACTATTCCATCAAACAATATCTCGAATATTGGTATATATAAAACATGTTTCATTGTAGTAAGTGACTGGATTTCTTTTTATTCTTTGCCCTGTTTATTATTATTATTATTATTATTATTATTAATAATAATAATAATAATAATAATATTGTTGTTATTATTATTGTTACTCTTTCTGTTTTTATTCTTATTATTATTGTAACAAGTGCTGGAATTACTTATTGTCATTATTTTAAATGCAATATTTATTTACACTAAAATATATTATTTATTATAATATATAATATACTCTACAATATATTATATATTAATCTATATGAGTAACAAATGCCAAAAATATTTCACTTTAATAAATTATTTGAAAAAAACTTTTTAAATTTTAACTTTTCTCATAATAATAATAATAATAATAATAATAATAAATAAATAAATAAATAAATAGTTATATACTATTTTGGGCAAATTCATGAATATATATGTATATTATGTATATTTGTATATTATATGAATATATATGTATATTTAATAAAACATAACACAACAAGGTAATGAAAAAACATCATTGGTTGCATTAAAATGCGATCATGCCCAATCCGGCAACCCTGAACAGGTTAATGGCTCTGTTTGAACAGCGGTGATTGGTACAGGAAAGAGGAGAAAACAGCATCTTTTTAACCAGTGTCTTGAAAAGGAAATCAACTTTTTGGTCAACTCTCATCAGTCAACACACGACTGACAGTGTTTAAGCTGCTTAGACCATCTTTATACTGGTGCACAGGCTACTCTCAGCGTGAGGACAGTTTTAAAGTTCTGAATTTTTCCTGCAGCTTCAGACGGCCAGCAACTGAGCGAATGTGGTTAAAAATGCTGTACAGTTATGATCGTATTGTTCTTTAACAGCTTCTAACATTTTTTTCTGTTGTGGTAATGAGAACATACTTGAACGTGCTTAAGAAAACATCCATAAAATGTGGAAAAAGAAAGAAAAGAAAAAGATATTCTGACTACTATTTTATTACTCGAGAAATCTGTCATAATCCATATGTCAAATGCTATAAAAAGACCACAGATGAATGCAACAAAAGAGTATGGAACAAGATCTGTTTGGCCTGAACAAAACCTGTGCAGTTGTCCTAAAGCATTCCCGCCCCATTCCAGCTCAGAAACAGACTGACAACTGCGGTATAGGCCGAGCAGTATACGAGCGCTGACCGAAACCAGTCACGTCGACAATATTTCATCCACTTTCTGCTTCAGTCTTACATTAACATTCTTAACTGACATATATATTCATTTTTAAGATACACAAAAACACTCGACGCTTGCTGCTGGGACTGGACTATCTGCGTTATAATGTTAATGCAGACCATTTGTCTCTAACATGCACTGTCTGAGGTGATGAGTTCCTTAAAGCCATGTATAATTAATACTAGACCACAGTAATAAGCGAACAGCAATCTGTCTATCAGTAAAGCCATACAGTAGTCTGACAAACACAGTACAATCCAGAAACAGCTCTCATTCTCCGAGCCTGTGAGATAAACGGGGGGAGGGAATACGGAGGTGTGAGTTAAGGCTCCAAACATCCAGAGAGCTAAAGCTATGCCAGCTTCCAAAGCTCTAGGCGCAAAAGTTTACTACCATGGTCACAGAGACAGACACATAAAAGCCTACACCATAAGCTTCGTCCAAAGGACACTCTGTGCTTCACTCCACTGAATGAAATTCATAATCGCACCCTAGTGTGACACTGACGGTCATTTCAATGGTAAGCTGACTACTCGGCATTGCACTGCCAGCATTGCTTCTGTGTCTTTGAGCACAATGAGGAATACAAACATGCTCATTAAATAACGTAGCTGGAAGGTGAACATGTCTAAGAGAACTGTGGCTGACCTTTGCCCCTGGCTGGTGTGAGGTAAATCCCGCCCCTGAGAGAGGAAATGACTTCATCGCAGTAGCTGGTAAATAAGAGGCACCTCCGGCTGAAACATCTGTGGACAAATAGTCAAACGTCACAGGTGAAAAACAGGAACAATACACTGTAAAAAAAAATACATACTGAGATAGTCAGACGTATTTGAAGCCAGCAGTTTCAGCTGCGGAATGACGGCATGTCCGCTTCACCAAAACACAACGCTCCTCACAAGGAAAGCAGCCTCTGCTGCCACTTACCCAAAGCGAACTCTACCACGTTGATTTTCTCCTGCTAGCCACACAGCTATTGTTGTTAAATTCACAACTGCAGAGTTAGTGTCAAAGCTTTTTAAGTAGTCGAAACCCGTTTCCTAGGACGATGTGTCCGGCATAATGAAAACAACTCCGCCACTGATATTAATAAACGTTGTCCGGCAAGCGATCCCACAGTCCATACGCGCCCACTGCACGCCTAAAAATAGACCCTTGTCTCAAAATCACACTTCATAGCTCCCATTCCTCCTCGCACGCTCAAAAGCACAGCAGAGGGGGAAACGTTGCCGTTTGACTTACCTTGGCCGGCAGCGGATGAGTACGCCATGGCGTTAGTCAGCGCGGAGCCAGGGCATCCTTCAGACGCGGCCGGAAAGTGCAGGGCTCCTACCGCTGGGCTGAGAGGGGGACAGCACTGCTTTTAGACTCCAAATCCCACAGCAGCCTGGCTGGCTATATCTTATGACCCAGCTCAGATTCAGGCCATTACCTCTGTAAATGGAGCAGGAGGCTCCTATAAAATACCTCCTCTCTCTTAATAGGGAGATCGGCCTTGCTAATGAAGTGGTTAAAGCACGCCTGTCACAGATTCATCAGTGGAATTGAAATACATATAAATTCTTAAATCAAAGCTTTAAAAATATCCCCCATCTACACCGCATTAGCCATGCCTGTAACAGTCCTCTGTGTCACCCACTGGCTCAACACATTCTCTGTCTACATAGAAAGTTCTGAATCAATACATTAGTGATGCATAAGCATAAAGGCAGTTACATATATATATATATATATATATATATATATATATATATATATATATATATTGAATATGTACATAGATACAATACATGTCAGCATCATTACTCACGCCTCTGTGTACAGCGATCGGTTCTGTAGATGTAGCTTGCCCTTCACGTGCTGGTCCCAGTCCTGAAAACAAGGAGCACACACACATACACATAGTACACACACACACACACACACACACACTCAAGTCTGTCAGTCAACACTGAGCTTCTCCTGATCCTCCTTTCCGAGTGCAAGATTCCACAGTCGGGCCAATTAAAGAGACACAACACAGCTCAGACAAGAGGGAAAGCAGGGACGCCGAACGAAGGAGTGAATACAAGTGATAGACAGTTACAGTAGTGCTGCGTATTCTGCCTCTAAAGCCTGCCTCCAGTTTCCACAGCCCAGCTGCTCTCTGGGGTTTCACACAAACCTGAGAACAATAGGTGCTGTGATTAAGTATGCTGCATGACCTCAGCGCTGTTATAGTGGCAGCTGCAGCCGTTAGCCGGCACTTTACATATCCGAAAAAAAGCCCTGTGTCACTTTGAAGTTCATTTCCAGTGCTGGTGAAGTTTTTAAGAAGGTATGAAATCAAACCAAATTTCGTGAAACATTTAAAGGAATACTCCAGCCCAAAGGAACACAGGATCTGGTGATTCAAAACATACTTACAATAGAAGCCACATGGCAGATGCTGATGTGTTGAAATTACTGTATTTGGTAATCAGTTGTCTGAAAACTCACAGCTTTTTTTAGCCTAATCATTTAACCTGCTGCATGTGCAGCAAACATGCAGCAGGTTAAATGATGAGGCTGAAAAAAGCTGTGAGTTTTCATTTAGCTCTTTTAAACCAAGCATCTCTCCGGTGATCCATTCAGAGAAATTGACGACGGCAAAGTCTTTTAAATCTGCCGCCAGAGGAGTTACAGCATGTGCATGTCCAAGTTGCCCATAGTAAAGCGTATATAGAATCACTCCTTTCTATATGCTACAGTGTTTCTATCACTGTAATAAAGATGCATAAGGCTACCTTTATTCCTAGATGTGCAGGTGCATGCTCATTCAGAACGCAGTTCAAAACATTAAGTGCATATTATTGATTTCTTTAATCCAAGTAAGGATAAAATGCTGATGTGTGAATTATATTCCTATTTATGTGGTTTTTTTTGCATAACAAGCTGAAATAAAGAACTTCGGTTCTCTGTAAAACAAACTGAATAAAAAAACTACAATTTTTGGCTTTTGGTCATTCTACAGAAACGTCCATTTTTGTGTCCATAGCATTTACAGATATATTACACTTAAACGTGTTAGGGTTACAATTTATTTATATTTTAAAATAAAACAAGTTATTTTAACAATTACACCTTCTTGAGCCTCAATTTAGCAATATTGGCTTTTAAATCAATTATATAGAATTCAAAGCACCACAGAAGAGCTCATCCTCACAGTCATGTGTAAAGGGTGAGACCATATTTTGAGGTAAAAAACGTTTTTCTGCAATTTTAACTACAATAATCTATACATGACGATGAAATATATGAATTAAATGACATGAAGAAAACAAATGACAGATAAATATTATAAAATATATAATGAAAGTTGTCCCCAGGAGTCGTATCACTGGTGTTACTGCGTAACAAAAAATCTCTTATTTTGAAATAAAAATCACACTGATGACATCACTTGACTTCCTTTTACCTGTTTTCTGAGGATCTATAAAGAAAAGCTCATGGTGAGTCCACTGTGTCTTTCAGTTATCAGAGATTTTCTCATTTAGCTCATGATTTCATATGAAGCTTTTAGCTGAAGTCACTGGTGTGACCGACTTTATTCTGAGGTAAATGTGAAAAAATAGAATACAAATGGATTAAATTACATATTTTAGTGGATAATCCATGATTGACAACATGTGGTTTGATGCTCTGTAGCAGCCATTTAGTAAAAAGCATTTTTCATTAAAAATGTCTCTGGTGTTACCTTTCTTATGTGTAACACCACTGAGGATCAGTAACACCAGTGACACCTATGGAGAGATAGGTAAGTGGACGTTTCTGTAGAATGACCCTTTCTTAGATCACATTTTGTGCATATCAAATAAAAGCACAGAGATTTTTTGCGCCTTAAAGAATGAAAGAGCAAAAGGAGCAAACAGGGGTCACAGGTGAGGCGCACAACCCTGACAATCACTAAAGTGAACGGGCCATTTCCTTTCCGCCCACCCACACAGACAAACACCTGGCCAATCTCACTCACCTTCAAGTTGTAAACCTTCTTCTCACAAATGGTGCACTGGTGGGGTAGGTGTGATGGTGTCGCCCCGTGGTAATCGTTGAGCTGGTGGGCTTGTAGTGTCATGCCCTTCCCCTCCTCACCTTTCTGCTGCTGCTGGTATCCTACAAACCCTGGCTGCCCCCCAGTAAAGTTGAAACCCAGGCCACCAGCTGGGCTAAACCTGGGCTCACCAGTGGGTTCCTCAGGGTTGTACAGTTCTGCTCGTGGACCAACAAAGCCCTGAGGAGCCGGGCCCCAGGTACTGGTCCCAGCCCCAGTACCCATGTCCAGTTTACCTGAGAGGGGGAAGCTTGTTGGGTTTTTCCACTGCTCTTTTTGGCCAGAGTCCTGGATCAGCTCGCCACTGCCTCCCATAAACACCCCTTGCTGACCCTCGGAAGGGTAGCAGTCTCTTTGGTAGTTGTTCTGGGTACTGTTCTTGGCCTGCACACCGGGGCCTCCATACTGTCCTGCGTCGGCCGCCTTACTGGGACCTACTCCAGTAAACCCAAACTGCACGCGCCGATCCGTATCCGTCTGAAACATTCCAGCTTTTTTCCCATATTCGCCTTGCTGATTGGTGTTCTGGTTTGAGCTCCCTGCTCCATAGTGGTTTAGTCTGATCCCAGCATGGTTCTGTGAGAACCCGCCCCCAGCCAGCGTGCCCAGGGCGGTGGAGGGAGGGGGGAAGGTGATGGGTGCAGGAGGGAACCCTCTTCCATGAGCCTGGCCAATGCTGGAGCCCCTGAGCTGATTGAAGAGAGGCTGGGACATGGCCACATTGGAGAGGACCTGGTTGAGGACAGTAGCGGCAGCAGCAGTGCTGCTGGTCTGGGCGAGTTTGAGACGGTGTAGGGTGAGCTGAGCCTGAAGCTGGGCCAGCTGTATGCTCGCTGGGCTCAGCAACAGGTTCTGACCCGCCCCTCCGAGGGCTCCTCCCACAGGAACAGCCTTCTTATCAAGCTTATCTCCTGAACCAGAGCTGCAAGGAAACAAAGGGCTGAAAGTCAATCAAATGTATCAGGAAGCAAAGGTGCATTAATGAAGATTTGACTGAGTTCACTACAGTTGGTATCTAGAGCTGAACTCATTCCATATTAAATGTTTGAGATGAACTCCTCACAATTCATGCATCTGTAAAAACAAAAAAAAAACACATTTATACATATTTTATACACCGATCAGGCATAACATTCTGACCACCTCCTTGTTTCTACACTCATTGTCCATTTTATCAGCTCCACTTACTATATAGGTGCTCTTTGTAGTTCTACAGTTACAGACTGTAGTCCATTTGTTTCTCTGCATACTTTGTTAGCCCCCTTTTACCTTGTTCTTCAGTGGTCAGGACCCCCACGGACCCTCACAGAGCAGGTACTATTAGGGTGGTGGATCATTCTCAGCACTGCAGTAACACTGACGGATCAGACAGCGCAGTGCTGCTGGAGTTTTTAAACACCTCAGTGTCACTGCTGGACTGAGCGTAGAAACAAGGAGGTAGTCATAATGTTATGCCTGATTGGTGTATATTTGATAAGGCCTGTAAGGCTTTTGAAAGCTGCTTTACAAACTAACACAAAAACTACCCTGAAAAACTGTGACTGGAGGGTCATTTTGGTGACAGGAAATCTGTTACGCCATGAAGAGACCCAACATTCACAGAAGAAACCATACAAACATGAAAATAACAAGATGCATGACCCTGCTCCAAACTAGAGGTGCAACGATTAATCGGCTTAGTCGACTAAATATACGACCAAATTAGTTTTTTAACAGCCGATTAGTTGGTGACGTCATCACACGTGCTTCTCGCACTAACTAGGAATGTTTTGACATTATCGCTTACTGGAGAGTTAACAAAAGCGCGATGGCTCCCTCATCAACAAAATCCTCACAAGTGTGAAAAGGTTGTCTGTTGTGCTATTGGTAAAGCCGACCTGAGCTGGCATGATGTACATCCTCCATGTTGGAGCACCTGAAGAGAAAACAGGACTCACTGGATGAAGAAGGCTCATCTCAGTAAGTTAGCTCTGCTAGCGAGCTAGATAGCTAATGTTCATGTTTACAGCCGTCTTACTTCATGTTATGAGCTGAGCTGTAACATCAGTTTTGAAACTGCATGTTCTCTGGAATTGTTCATGTAGTTGGAAAGGAGAAGCAAGTAACTGTTATTCACAACGACCCTGTTCAAATTCCAGATAACGTTTACAGTTTTAAATACTGCATCGCTGTCTTAACGTTAAGCCGTTCAAATTTGGCATTTAACGTTTGCAAACAGTTTTCTTTTAGCCTTGAGTTCTCCGCTAACGTTTGCGAACACTCGCAGTTTCAGGAGGCAGTTCTCCGCGAACACACAGGGGAGCTGGACGAAGGGTTACTGTCGGAATGAGAATTGTTCAAATTTAACTGTTCACAGAGAACAAGTTTGCGAGAACCGTTCGCCACGTTCCCATCCGCTCTGTCAGAGCGTGTCTCCTCTGCAGCGGTGAAGGCTCAGAGGAGATCAGGCCTCTCACAAGAGAAGCTGACTTTCCTCCGTTTCACTAAAGACCTGTGAAAGTATAATTTAATTGCACCAGAGTGCAGATAGACAGCAGAATCCCCAAAGCACAGACGGCACTGCTTAAATTTAAAAATTAAATTTGGATCGATTTGTTTATTTACTTGATTACAGGGAAAGTGATTTACTTTTGTTACATTTTATATTTTAGTATCAAATTAGTCGTTTGTTGCAGCCCTATTCCAAATGATAGTAAACAAGAGCAAGCTGGGAAAAAGCAAACCATTACCAAAAACTAACAGACTGAGGTCTGGAATAAAATATAAAGGTAGCTTAAAGAGGATAAGGCATCAGTTCATCTGAAAATGAACCTGACACTAATGCCGGCCTTACACCAAACGACTTTTCAAGCGATTTCACTGTTGCAGACAAATATTCAATGTCGGAATAAAATCATGAGAGTCTTGTTAGAGTCGTGTCGCGCTCGCGTCATCTCGATCAGTGTGAGGTGGTCAGGACAGCCGTCTTAAGTCAGTCTTTTTCTCGTCTTGACGCTGCGACAAAATCAACCGTGTTTAATATTATCGTACGTTTTGAGACTTGGCCCAATAGTGAAATGACAGGGGCGCGCAAAAGAAAGAGAAAGAAAGAGAGAGAGAGAGAGAGAGAGAGAGAAATGCATGCGTGAGAGCCTGAAATCTCTGTAAAAACAGCAAATCTGCTCCGCTTTAATACAATAATCATATTAACTTAAAACGTAAACTGACTGTTTTAATATTTCAGACTCACTGAGTGTAACACTGATGTGTAACACTGTATCAGTAACACTGATTCTCTTTTTTCTGTTAGTGGTTTCTTATTTTGTTTTTTTTGTTTCTTATGGTTTAGTTCATGACAACCAATCAACAATGCTGAATCGCTGCATGTTGTGTTGATGTGTAAATCTTTATATCAAATTTAAAGTAACAGCACATTTTACAGGCTCAGTAAAAAGATTCTGGGCGATGATCTGCCAGAATATACAGTTCTACAGTGAACTGAGCTGAGCCTCAGATCTTTACATGCTCAGCCAGTGTATCTTCCCATCTGTACCACTACAGAGTGGAAGGAAAAGTGTTTTTCTGCTTATAAATCTCCGCCAGGTGCATGATGGGGAATAATCTCAAAAATTTAGTTGCAGTTTTGTAAACAGTGACACTGTAAGATTCCTAGTCTTTGCAAAATCATAGTCTGTGACTAAAAACCGTGACACTGTCTTTAGATGTGAGAGGGTGTCAGACTTCAGTCTTTCCAAAGTCATTTCAAAGTCTTCTAGTGTATGGTAAACACAAGTCAGACTGTTCGATGGGATATATTGGAGGACATAGCCTCAGAGAATCTAATCCAAAAGCATGATCTTGGTGGGGATGAGAGTACGGCCGCTCTGGCCTGTGTCCCCATTTGCCAGTACCGTCTGTTCCTCTCCTACTGATTAATGCGTTCACATGCTAGCTAAATTTACCACACGCTACTATCAATCAAAGCATGCACAGAACCCCGATGCTGTCCTCCCTTCACATCACACGTACACTCTGCTAGCCCAACACCATATAACATTTGGATACAGAAAAAATGTTTTCTATTCACCAAACGGGGGAACATATGAGCCAGTTTAAAGGTTTAATCTCTCACAGTGTCAGGGGGATTGGTGAACTTTTTCAGCTTATCCAATCAGATTTTGGCTACTGGATTTGATCAGTCTCCTTAAATAGTGAATGACACAGCAAGATTTTCAGACTGGCTTGAACCCAGCAGAAAAGACCTGCTATCTGGTTCCAGTGTTCATGCGGTACCATCAGGGACCAGAATTTGAGCCCGCTTGTTTTTTTCAAATGTGAATTTGTGCATGCAATTTGTGCAACCGAATCTTCGAGGAGGATTAACGCCTCGGCGCTATGGTGTCGGAGACGTCTGGGGTTAGGATACGGACTTACAGGACCATTTCCAGATCGTAAAGTTTACACAGTGAGAGCAGCGCTAAGCAAGCTCTCGTTGTTTGGTCCAGAGGGTGAAACTGTAGAGTGACTCCCCTTTATTTTTTCTGGACAACAAAGGTTTCAAAGATTGAGGGCAGAGGGCTTTAAATGGATAATGCTGAAAAATTTTAGTCACCCTGAAGGCAATCCGTGCGTATCCTGAGTGATAGCGGATACAGCGCTGCTCGGAGGCCATCACGATGCATGAGGCGCAAGCATGTGAAACGACACGCCTGGAATTTATACTGGGTTGCACTAATTGTAATCAATCAGTGACACCGCACTGCAGGACCGGTCTGCACAGAGATTTACAGACAGCTAGATTTCACATAGGATTATTTCAAAATATCATAAACCTCATCTGACCTCGACGAGTAAACGCATGACAGTCTCGGTCCGATGCGTCATATACGCAGTAATAAAAGCAGTAAGAGATGACAATCATATATGTATGTTTCCACTACTGACTAAATCTAGTCCTATCAAATGTCATCTATATACCTTTTACTAATTGTTAGGGATTTGAGAATGAGAAGAGCATGCAAAGGTCTAATGCCTTCTTAAGAGCAATGTGCTCATATCAAATTCAGCATGCACTTCCCTACAGTAGGGGATTTAAGCAAGAAAATGACACGCAGCAACTCTAAAGCCAGTCTTGGAGTGAGACGCAGCATTCAAAATGTAATTTTACGGCTAAAGCATGCTTGGAAGACCGAGCAGCTGTTCTGCTCTAGGATACCAGATTCAGAAAGAGACCTAGAACTGACAACCAAAAAATCCCACTTTCCAGCTTGCATGCATTAAAACACAATACACATGCCCCTTGTCCCAAAGTTCACCTTTTTTGTGTACGTGAGTGTGTTCATGTTCAAGCGTGTCCCATTTCTTAAACATGCAAAAGCATAGTGCGCCATGCACCCTGTCCTCGCCCCCCCGCCAAATACATCAAAGCAGTACAGGGGCTACGGGACAGTATAAATATCCCACAGCTAAACACAGTGGTGATGTTCTAAATCACTGTTTTGAAAATAAGAAGATTCTTATGCTCGTGGGTATATTTCGGTTTTTCCATCTGAATTTACATGGCCAAATCGTAAGGCAAATTATTCAGGAACTGCATGAAATAAATGTAATTTTTGTTTTTTGAGCTCCCCTCAAATTAACAGAACATGTGTTTTATGATCACACATGTTGCTATATGCTTACAATCTACTGCTGAAAGCCAAAAATCTTAGATGCTCTTTGCATTTTTTTATAAAAATAATTTTTACAGAGCAGATCACTGAAGAGACGCCATCTGAGATCCAGTTTGTAGCTCAGATTTGTGGAAAAATGGGTCAAATTTCTGTAGAAAAAAAAAAAAAAACTGAGTTCAGCTTCTTTTATGATAAACTTTTAAAATTACATGACCCATCTATTTGACTGGAAAGAAGACAGTTACAGCTCTCATATGACACCCACCTTTTA